ATTTGTTTATTCTAATTTCTATAATTTTTTCTATAATATCTTTATAAAATATTTTTCAATTTAAACTTATTTTTAACTTTTTTTTTATTTTTTCCATTGGAGGGGCCACTCTCTTTCCCCAGTAAAAATAGATAAACTAATGCATGTTTATACTTACATTTTCAAATTTGAAAATATTTTGAGAACATTTTAGGGGGTGCAGGGCAAGAAGGAGGTGGGGGTGGTGGGCGTAGACCCCTCCTCTTAAGTCAAATTATACCTCACTATCTATTCATTATAATGCAGTTAAAGTATAAATTTTAATTTTCATGCTAGATTTATTTATTTTAAAATATACACCTATCTTTTGATACCAATGTTATAAACATTTCGATAAAAATTAGTAAAGTTATAACAATTTGTGTTAAAAAAAAGTTGTTTTGACCACAGTTTAACAATTCCACATTTTTAAAAATTGTCACTTAAAACTTTATAACTTTTTTTGAATTGTTCGATTTTGATAATTTTTTCACCTTTGAAATACTGTATTAATGCTCTTTCCAACGATATATAACAATATAATCTTTATTAAATTTAAAAGTTTCATGCTACATACCTAATGTTTAGCTATAAAGCCTACATCACTAAAAACCATACTTAATACAAACGAACACCGCATTATATTTGTGCATGAAAGTTTCACGTGGGTCATGTGCGGGAAACATATGTCAACCTTATATTTACCACTCTTTTAAATAAGATGGCATAAGTACAGTCCATGTGAGGCTGTAATGTTTATAGCATATACGGTAATACCGACGGTTTAAGTTATACCGCTCAAAATTACACTAATAAAAAATGATCGATAGAAAACGATGTAGACCTCTTTAATTTTTTTATCTTACATTTTTACAAAGCCTTGAAGCAGTAGCTGAAAAAAACTTTAAATTAAACTCAAGTTTAAACAAAATAGAAAAAAAAAATCGGTCCTAAAAGAAGTTTTCTTACATAAACTTGGTTTTCAATAGTTGTACGAATATTGTGCGTTTTTGTTGACAAAAATTGTTGACAAAATTGGTTTGATTCCAGGCGCGCCGCCAGCAATTTTTGGTCTTTGAGATAGCTAACTTCCAGACATAGAGCAAACTCCAAACATTTATATGTTTATACTTATGTCAAATAAGGATGCTTTGCAAAAAACTGCGATGATTGGAGCTTGGGAACAAAAAAGCCTCAAAATTTTGTCCCCTATCTTGCCTTAAACGTGAGAGCAACAATTTGATGAAATATTTTTTGTACTATTTTCAGCTAGACTTATATTCATCACTAAATTTTAAATTTCATAGTAAATTATTTTAGCGTTCAAAAGTTATGACCATATAAATTTTATATTGTCATAATTTTTAAACGCTGAGAGATAATACTATGAAACTTTAAATTTATTCATAAATATAAGTCTAGTTAAATATCTCAAAGACTAAAAAATACTAACAGCGCCCCCAGTAGGCACCGGACCAAAAAAAGACGTCTTTTGAACGTTCAAAAGACGTCCAAAACTTGTATAAAACGTTTAAAAGATGTCTTTTACGTCCATGCCCACTAGGCCTATGTTTGATTCTATTTCCGCAACCTTTGTTTTACGACATAAATTTTGTTGTACAACCAACGTTAAGCTGTGCAACTTACGTAAGAAAATGTTTCCATCAAAACATTATTGTTGTATAACTGTTGTACGACATTTCTACAACTATTAGAAACCAAGCTATATTCAGAAAATTTTTTTTTTAACGCTATTTTTTATGTTGCTTTCTTGAAGCAAATGTATTAAGATGTTATTTTCTTCTTTATTAAATAAAACTTTGATATTTACAAACTTTAGAGAAAATTTATATTAGATTACAACTATTAAAAATATTCATTCCAAAATTAGTTTTTTATGTATTTAATTAAATACCACATTAAGTGGTATATTTAACAGTGTGCCGGTATAAAGTAAGTGTTTTTTTTGTGTGTGCGTGAAAATGAAAGTTTTGAGTTGGATAGTAAAAAAATTGATTTAAAGTATTGACCGTTGCTTTCTACAGTTTTGAACAACTTTCTGGCAATTTGTGGATACCATCCCAATAGTCTTTCAAATTCAAAACAATCAGACATCCAATTTTTATCTTTTAAAGCAAAATAATCAGACACGCAATTTCGGCTTCCTCGTAGGAATCAAAGTGGTGCTCAGCCTGCGTGTCCCACCAATAAAAACAAATTAGTCGGAAATGTTCAATTCTGGTGAATACGGTGGGAGGGATAGCAGCTCCGAGCCAAGTGCTTTGATAGTATCTTGAACCGGTTTTGCTTTGTGTGCAGTTGCAATGTTGTCTAAATTACTTTGCCATGTCTTCTGCCTCATTCTGATTGTTTTTCAATCAATGCATGGTTCAAGTTAATAATTTGTTGCCTGTAGCGATTAGTATTAATAGTTATTAAAGTTTCAACAGATTTTGGGAAGCTCATGATACAGCACGCCTATATGATCCCACTAAATACAAAGCTTTGTTTTTTTACCAAACCAATATGGTTTTGCAGTCGATGTTGATGGTTGTCCCGGATTAAGCCATGGTTATTTCAGTTAAGATTCTTATAATAAATCCAACAATTCTGACAAAACTGATTTTCTTTCGCGTCTATGAAGGAAAATTTCACAAGTTTTTTTTCGGTTTTTTATCTGTCTTTCATTCAATTCATGTAAAAAGTTAAATCTGAAATTTTTAACACGATAAAAAAATATGATGTTGTTTGTTCAAAGGCTTAATGTATATTAAATATGTTTGACAGATGTTAAACTAACCAAATTAAAAAATTTCAGGCTCGTTCACAATAAATGTTCCCTATCGACACATTTGTATTTTAACGCTCACTTTATACCGGTACACCTTTTACGTGAACCGAATTATGTGTTTTGCATAAGGGCGGAGACTAATCATCAGATTGTATATCAATTATCAACTAGATTAGAGTTTCACACTTTTATTTCACTTATAAAAATATACTACCATCCTTCTAATGAATAAAACTTTGTTATTTTTTTTATTTTTTTCTATTTATATTGAAACCTTATAAGCTTTATAAGCACTTACAACACCTTTTTTTATAGCAATGACACTTTCTGTAAAAAAGTGTCGTAAACTTTCGTTGGAGACTTTAACAAATCAAAATATTGACTTGCATCAGTGGAAAAATTCAAAATGCAAAGTTTGATTTGTCAAACAAGCAAACCACGGTAATATGTAAAAGACAATAAGATTTAAATTTTGCATTGCTCACAGGTATGATCATTGATGAAGAATACAGACGCTTTAATTATGGCAATCTGAGTCGCTCCAACGTTTGAAAATTATAGTCACATGAAATAGATACATGTACTTGACCATAAAAATGATCCTTGAAATCACGAAACTCCTTTTTGTTAAATTAAAATTATCAAGTGGAATATTGCAAATTCTCTTCAGAAGAGTTTCCGAATATTCTTGAAAAATTTGTACTTCATTTTTTTCATTTCGTGGCCATGAATATGGTTCCAAGCATTGCACTGATTGGTTATGATATGATTTTCCTCAACAGATTCTATGCGTGACTTATCACCAGCAGATAAGTCACGCACAGAATCTGATGTAAGTGGCTAGAATTGATGTAAGTGGCCTAATCAATTAAAGGTTGATTTCTACCTTCTGATATGATTACATCTTGGAAAACACCATTTTATATATACCAAACATTTTCTCTTCAAATATAGATATGAGACGAGAGATAACGTAAGTTGCTTTTGCGAGTGTGACATTTTTTAATTGTAGAACTTCTAAAGTTGATTTGAGTTCTTCCAATTCTTCATACATTAATGCCAGATTTTTAAGAAATGACACACTTACAAATGCTTGAAGTATTTATGAAATGCAAATGTTAAGTTGTGCAAAATGTTTTTTTCGTTCAAAAATATGAGGCAACATATCGTGTAATGAGAATTTTCCGAATTTTAACAAGACAAACTTCTACCTTAATTGCAGAAAGCTCTCTCTTATTTTTTGATGTTTTAACTGCATCACTTACAGCCAGTTTAAGACAATGATTCAAGCAATGCCATCCACCTAGTCAAGGAAACGTCTTCTCGAACTGTTTGAAGATGCCATAAGCTGACCGGGATAATTTTCTTGAGCATTAATATTTTTCAAGAATATTTCTAAGATGAATGAACAACATTTGCACACCCAGGCTAAATAAATTCTAAAAAAAAAATTTCTTTTTACATTTTATTTCGCATACGTTGGCCAAATGTATGTTTGATAGCTGGGTATATGGCTCATGACAACCATCTTCAATTTATCTTTTTTACAAATTTACTTTTGTAATTGTTTCTAAGTATTATTGTTTTTTTTATTACTTAATTGAAAAAGTGTTTGTGTAACTTATCATTTCTTGTCAGCGCGTTTCTTTACTTTATTTTATTTTTTTATGCTCCCAGAATCTAAAAGGTTGAACAACTAGTTAGATGTTTGACATTATCAAGATATACTTTTTTTGATGATAGATTTGAAAAACATTCAAAAAAAATTTTGTATCAATCTGCCCCCAGCAAAAACAAAATTAAAAACAAAGAAATTAAAAAAAGTAAAATATGAAGAAAAACCCAAAAACTTAATCTTTAATCTGATCGGTTAACATATTAAAGATATGTTAGGATTATTATATATTAAGCCTTGATATACTAGGATTATTATGCATATGTTACTATTACACCCTCACTCTACAAAGCACAATGCGAGTAGCTCAAAAACGTGACTCGCAAATTAATAATAATAATAGCAATAATAATAATAACAATAATATATATATATATATATATATATATATATATATATATATATATATATATATATATATATATATATATATATATATATATATATATATATAACTAAGGCTATTATTTAAATCATATTAAAATAAAAAATTAGCAAAAATAAACTTTAACATACACCACGTTCTGCTTTCATTTTCAATATCCTTACTACAACCAGTTATACTACCATGGCAATTCGGTTTTTCTGTGTATTTAAAAACTTTGTTTGTAACTCTATAACGATATTGATATCCACATGTGTTATGATTTATATTGCCAGACCATTGGTTCCATTCACTCCACCAACAACTATATATCTCTTGACAAGAACCTAATTAATAAATATTTATATATTAATTATTTTTAATTCATTTTTAAAAAAAAGCTAAAACTCAGCGAAAAAACAAAACGGCTATTATTGCAAAAATTCTATATAATAAAGTGATGGTACACGGTATTTAGCAATAAAATATATATGCAATTGCACAAATATTTTGACTATTTAAAAATTAGTAATAATTTTATATGACTTAATGTTGCATGAGTTTTTAAACTCATTTGAATTTTATTTTTACTTTTATTTTTGAAATAAGACAGAAAATATTATTGCTAAGAAAGGTTTTAAAACTTTAAATTTTGATTTTTTTGAAACTTTTTTTAAAGAAACTCATATGAACTTAATTAAAATATATTTTGATAGATTTAATTTCAAAATAAAAAAAAGATATTATTTCTTTATATTTCCTATAAACCTAAGGAGTCTATATTGCATATAAACATAAGAATCATGCGTCGAAAACTTAAAAAAAACTTAAAGAATTTTTAGATATTATAAGTTACACGTTCGACGTCATAGCTGTGGCAGACTCTAGAAAATCCGATTGAATCAAAATCTAATTATAGCTTGCTAAATAATAAACTAGTTAGCCAACGATAAGGAAATAATTAAAGAGGGCTAGGAACTTACATGCTTGAAAAATTATATATATATTTAAGACAAAAAAAAAAACAATATAATTTAAACGCGCTGAACCACAACAACTTTCCAAAACAAAATTGTTTTTTGATATTTTGTTTAAATTCAAAGTCTTGCCAGTAATCAATAAACCTACTTGGGTGAATAAAACCTCAAAAATTGCGAATGATAATATACTTATAAACAATAACGTCATTTCAGTTAGACATTTTTAAAACAGATCTAAGCGATAATTTCCTGATAAACATTAACTTCAAAAAATTTTAGGAATACTCAGCCAAAATGCACTAATTTAAAAAAACGAACTTGACCATTATTAATACGAATGAACTATTGAATAAATTAAGTATAGAAAATTAGGTTGATGTCCAACCAAAAAAACTTCAAAAAAATCTTAGTTAACAAAAACATGCTTGAAGAATTATAAACAGCAAAAAACGCGGGGACCACACTAAACCTTTAATAATAGATATGAAAAGGATGAATATATATCAATATTCACAAACACTTAATTTTTATGTATTAATAAACCAATAACTTAGCTCCTGAAATCTTTATAAGTTTTGATAAGAATCTAAATGATAGATATTTTTAAGAATGAGTTAAAGTAACGCGTATAAATTGCCTAAAAAAGTAAACAAATACACAGAATATGGTATAACTTATTGACCTAAGCTATGGTACTCTTTTCTGAAAAGCTATAAGCACTATTGACCTAAGCTATGGTACTTTTTTCTGAAAGGCTATAAGCACTATTGACCTAAGCTATGGTACTCTTTTCTGAAAGACTGTTAAAATATAGCAAAATCGTTAAAGTCATTTCAATTTCAAACAAAAATAATAAATCAAAGTAACACATATAAATTGCCTAAAAAAGTAAACAAATACACAGAATAACTTATTGACCTAACTCTTTTTTTAAAAGTTTATCTTAATTCATAGGAATTATTTATACTTATAATTTTATAATTATAATAACAAATAAATTTTTAAAGCATATCTTTTTTTTTTATAATAATATTTAAATATAATATTTTTTACATATTTGATAGTTTGTACTTTTAAATATTATATTTTCTTTTTCAACTTTTTGTAGCTCTAGTATTTATAATTATTATATCTTTTTTTGAATATTTGTATATGTATATACAAAAAAGGAAAGATAATATTTAAATTTTCAGAGAAAAAAAAAATTGTATATATGTAACTTTTTTTTTCCTGACAAACATTTTCTTTCCTTTTTTGACTATTGGTGACTGTTTGTATTTTTTAATTAAAATATCTTCTTTTTCACTATTTCTTTTTTAAAAAATTGCGAATATTTGTACTTTTAAATAATGTATCTTCTTTTTTCACCTTTTATATTTCTTAACTATTTTTTACTATTTGTGATATTTTTTAGCTAAACTTTTTACTTGGCTTATTTATCATGTTTTATTATTATTGTTTTGATCTGTATAGGCTCTGTGAAAAGATTAGGTTGCTGTTTTGCCGTCCATATCTTCTTTGAGCCCCTGTCTGTTTATTATTTATATACTAGTAATTAAATTATATTTTTTTGTGAAAAGAAATTGTAGTTTTTAGAAATTGTATTGTAAAATTGTTACATATAAACAACACACTAAAATTCGAAAAATAAAAAAAGTAATAGTAATTTCTTAACAACAATCAATAGGGTGAGAGATTTTTGCATTATATCTTATTATACCTATTACATTAATTAAAAACTGGTTCGATAATTTATTTCATTTTAACGAATATTAAACCCTAAGAACTAACTTACACCAGGTTCGATATCTAACAGGCTCAGAGCACCCTTGGTTTCCTGGACAACCTCCACCCTTACTGTATGTTTCTATAGAATTAACTCCAACTGACTGTTGCACAACGCATGTTCCTGAAGCTGGTCTTGGAGAAAATTCTGGATAAGTTGTATAACACACAGTCCATTTACAACTTGAGCTGGAGCTGCATGCGTAAGTAAACGGAATAATAAAAAAGCTAAGGTATAATAAAATTGTTTTCATTTTACACTTTTTAAATTTTAAGTTTTTAAATTTTTAACTGAATGAGTTATATATATATAGGTATAAGTTAAACATAGTTTCTAAACAAATTAAAAAAAAAAAACATGCAAATGAAACCTATATGTACAAAAGATATCAACTTATATATAGGGTTAAAATAATGCTGAGTAAATATGACTTTATATATTTTTTAAATGTTGTTTTAACACCTTGCATATTTTTATAACACCGTAAAGTTTTAAATAAAAAGTTATTCAAGACAGTACAAAAAACTAGTTGTATAGTAAGTAAAATACCGTTTATCATAGTGACTATCGGCCTAATTGTAATTAAAAATCGGCTAAAACGAAATTTTTGTTAAACCAAAATAAGCTAAAACTTTAGCTAATTCTAACTGAAACAAATTTAATTTTAGGCAAAATTAAAACTAACCCAAACCCTGAATTTTTGGTAAAAGGAAATAAATATCCTGATAATTAAGCCAGTTAAAAGTAAAATAAATAAATCTCGTATTTTTATTCAAACTTTTAATTTAATAAGGAAAAATAATCAGATACTTTTCTTTGTCATTTAAGATATGGTTTAGGGATGTTCCTTTTGCAAAAAAATTTGCGAAATTTGCAAAGTGCTTATTTGAAACTTAAAAATTATATCCTACGATCATAAATGCAATTATTTTCTTAAAAAAATAAAAAGCAATAAAATTTGCGAAAAAATTTATTTTAAATAAAGTCTATTGACACATTTTCTTTTAAAAGGTAATGTTATCAGCATCTTTTGAAAGTATATTGGCTGTATTAAACTTTGTTACTAAATATATTTGTGGTCATATCGTATATAACCAATAAACCAGTAACATAGATTTATAAATCAATTTTCAGAGTGTGTTTAATAAAATTCAAAAAAAAAAAGAAATTTTTAACATTTTTTTTGCATTTTTCATGTTACAGGACTTCAAGAAAATTATAAAGATTTTAGTACGAGGCATTTTACAATGCTTGAATTCCCCTATTAATTCAAATATTGTAAATAGCTTCGAACTAAAATTTTTATAATTTTGTTGAACATGTAAAATGCAAAAAAAACAATTTTTCTTTTTTGAGTTTTATTAAATAAAATAAGTAAAACTAAAATGAAGTTATGAATTCGTAAATAACAGTATAACACTACACAAAGCGTAACAAAACAGGAATAATAAAAAATAGTATAATATATATGAAGATGTTTTCTATTTAAAAAATAATTTTTTTAATTTGAATACAGGATATTTTTTGAATGCAAGTTATTTTTGTGGAAAAGTTAAAACTATTTTGTTCTGAAAAAAGACTCCAAATAAAAAGAGGGTAAAACGGGTCCCCGATAGGAAAAAAATACTATGTTTAAAAATTTCGTTTGACTGAAATTTTTTCTAAATTTTGTCTGAGTTAAACTCTGATTAGGTTTTCAACATTTTGGAGGTTTTTCATTAAAATTATTTAATTTTAACTTTTTAGTTCTTTCCAGTAGGTTAAAAGTTTCCAGTAGGTTGACATTAACTGCCGCGATATTTTTGAACCCAAAATAAGCGATTATGGAAGGAAATTTTAAATAATTAAAATGCTAAATTTTTTTTAACCAATGAGAAAGTCATTGGTAAGAAATTTCTTCAAATATAAATTCGTAAAAACATCAACTCTATGGTTTAGAAACATCTCTATAGTTTGGAAAAATATCTTCTCCGTATAAAACTATGAAGGTAAGAAGCAGTAGTGGAGTTTTAGTTTTATTGATTCATTTAATTAAGAGTAAGACCTTGCAATCGCTTACTTCATTATAAACGTTTGTCCAAATAAAATCTTTATTATAAAATCCTCCCAAACTATTACAATCCTTTTCAAAATAATTATTAATAATGTCGTTTAATAAAACTTCAACATCGAGTAAAAATCCAAACTTGTAATTAAGGTTATTTAGACGTATAAACCGTTTAACTATTTTCTACTGCAAAAAATTAAGAAGAGTTTTCACAATGAGGAAAATTTAACTTTCTCCTAAAAGATTTACGTTGTTTTCAAGACATTTCAATTGCCAAGTACCAATACAAAGTATTGACATTCCCTTTCTGCAAAAAGGCCTACGTCTTTAGACAATTTTCAAGACATTTTGTTTGCCTTCTGATAATTTTTTTTTGTTTGTTTGTTTTTTTACTTTTATTCAGTGACAAAAAAAATCTGTTTATAGTTTGATTAGCTCTACGCTAAGCAATGACGGATCCAGGGGAGGATGGGGTATGTATCCCCCCCAGCCCCTCCTCCCCCACCAGAATCTGAAAGTCTAAAATATCTTAGAAATGAAGGATCTTTTTTTTTTTAGAAGACGCCAATGCGATAAAAAATACAAAAACATTTCAACACCCCCCTCCCCCTCCACACACACACCAAAAATTCCGGGATCCGTCACTGACGCTAAGGGGATTGTCCATAAATTACGTGATGCGATTTCGGACCTTTTTTGAACCCCTACTATTTAAACTAAGTTAGATACATTATTTTTCTGCTTTATTTTTTTGGTTTTCTTAGCATCACAGCTTATCTTTTATTTACTTAAATCGTTTCTTTCTTTTTTTTTGCCGAATATCTACTAACCTGAAAACTATTTAAAGAGGTGTCAAGAAAGATGTTGCATGGAAATCTTGAGCAACTGTCCAAAATTTAGAAGCAGTGAGTTTAGGGACCTTAGTAAGGGAAACCATTTATGATGCAGTAAGACTATGCTTATAGCTATTTGTTTAGAAAGCGATATTGACGGAGTTAAGACAGGAGGAGGTAAGAAGGTTTGATCGCGCCTAAAGAAAAAATGAAATTAAAAATACAAAAAAATAAACTTAAAATCGAATGATAGGGCAAGCATTTACAAAATACATGGAACTTAATATAGGCTGTACAATTTAAATAAAATTTAAAGGAAATATAAATATTACCTTCTACTTGGCTTCATTCCTATATTCGGCTTCTTCCCTCTACAGGGCTCGTTGACTGTCTGCATTTCTTCTTTGTAATTAATTAAAAAAAAAAATTTTAGTGAAAAAACGCAATGGCTCTAAATAAAAACATTCAATGACTGAGTCATCGCATCCAAATGAATATCTGTAAAAGATATGTACAAATTTAAATGGATTGAATGTTTGTATGGCTATTGATTTTTTTTTAAAAAAAGCTTGAATAATAGTTTGAAAGTTCAAGTATCTACTTGCGTACAGTAAAAACTGAATATAAAATTATTTAACTAATAGGAAATTAAAAATACCAAACTTATCTCTTAACATCTTGAACTGCATTGCCAATATCCTCCTTTTCGGGATTTTAATGATATTTTTGAGTTGCTGCTCATTTTCGGAGACATCTTGACTTTAACTTACTTTTAATTTAAATAGTTTTTTAGATTTAAAAGAATATAAACTCATTTAATAATAAAACATTTAGATATTTATTTGAGAACTCCACGCACTGAAATTAATCTCCAAGGAAATAACAGTGCTGCAATCTTTAATGACCGTACAAATAGAACTTAACAAAACATTGATAATTGTCCAAAGAGAATTGTTGTGTAGCGATCATAATATTCAAAAAAGTAATACTTTTTTAATGTAACTCTCTAAAAACCCTAGCAAACTGAAATTTTTTTCAGAAGTCTGGATAAAAAATTCAATAACTTATAGAAGTATTAGTTTCAAACATTAGTCACTGACACAAATCACAAAAGATACTAAATTGTGGCTCAGAACCCCTATTATATGATAAAATAATCATGGTAAATTATTATTTTTTTTGTCAAATATTTAAAAGCATAACAAAGTCTTCCAGTCTTCGACATCCTTTCTACCTCCGCCCGATTTTCCATGTTTTGATTTTAAAGGTATGTACATTCATCCGTGTCAGCACGAAAAAGAAAAAATTTCAATTACATTAAATTTGTCATGCGTTTCTTGTGGTTATCTAAAAACAGCTATGAAAATATTCCTAAGAGCTAAGAGTATTTACGGAACTTTTTTTTGCTTCAAATTATTGTATGTTTATTTTTATGTTTACGATAGCCAAATTTCCTTCATATATAATGGAAAGATAAACAATAATTTTAGACACTATTTCGGTACTTTACTTCATAAAATTCTTCATAGAATTCAGTAATCAAATAATAAAAAAAAAAGTAATATATCTAATTATAGCTTGATGAAAAGGCTCCTTTCAGCTAACAAAATTAAAAACAAAGACGCTACAGACAAAGTAGCAATTGTGTCTCTAAAAGTTACTTTGTTATACTGTCTTTAATAGCATTGATTGATGAAGCTTCGGAAAACGCTGCTTGGGAAAACGTATTCCATGAGACAATAACTCTATTTGAAAAAATATGTCGTTCTTTACAATTTCTTACTAGCCAGCGTTCTAGCTTATAGTTATGTCCTTACAAAATATACTTGGCTTTACTGTTTAAAAGTTTTTGAGGAACAAAAAAACTGACAAGTTTGAGTTCGTGTGTGACAATAAGTTGCTCAATAAGGTTTTCTATTTTACAGCGTTCTTCAACTGTTGTTAGACCGAGCCGTTTGGAGTCGATTTTTATTGGACAGTTGTTTAGTAGATGATATTTTTTTGTTGCTTGATGTTAAACTTGCTTGAGGATGGACTTTAAATGCGGCGACTCAAGATGAGGGTGAATATAAATGAGATCCAGTGTGCCATAAATTAAAACTGCGACTGTGAAATGTTTTTTTGAGTTGCCCTAGCATTCTGTTCGCTATTGATGTGGCTGACTATACTTGTGGTTTGATGTTAAGGTCAATAGAGACCATCACACCAAGGTCTCGTTCGATTTCAGTCAAGTTCATGATGCGTGCCTTCAACATTAGTCATTTACAATTCGTGCGTCAACCTGTTATATGCGCAGCCAACATGAAGGCCAACATGAAGAAAACCAAACTTTCTCTCTGCTTTCTTTTAAGCACATTTTTAACTTGCCTATGATTGGGGAAAAAAAATTTTAAATTTGTCATTGCCGCTAAAAACTACTTCATTCTGGCTATTATTACTG